GTATGGAAGACTATCAGTAGTTTAACATTTCACAAACACAGAATGATCACCTATGCCAATCAGCAAATGGCATTTTTTACAATAGTTGGGTGAATTTAACTGTCTCCTGGTGGTGTGGTACCCATAATGTTTTTAATGTTACATGCTGTTTATTCTTTGTGGTTAGTATACATGTACTAAAGTTTTTATGATACCCATGATGTTTCTATATTATAATGTTGCATGCTGGTTTTCCTGTTTCTAATACTGTATTTACCCACGATGTTTTTTAATGAAATGTTGCATGCTGTTTAGTGATGGGATATCTATGTGGTGTAGTATCTTCATTTCTAAGGTTGCATGTTGCTGCTGTTTTCTTCTAGTGGTGATATGGGATATGATTTTGTACCCATGGTATATCTATGTTTCTAATATTGTAATTTTGTATGCTGTTTCTTCTAGTGGATATCTATGTGATATTTTGTATGCTGTTTCTTAATATCTATGTTTCTAATATTGTAATGTTGCATGCCGTTTCTTCTTGCGATGTGATATCTGTTTCTAATGTTATAATCTGTTTCTTCTGGTGATACTATTTCTTCTGGTGATATGATATCCATGATTTTTCTAATATTGTAATGTTGCATGCTGTTTCTTCTAGTGGTGTGATATCTATATTTCTAATACTGTAATGTTGTATGCTGTTTCTTCTAGTGTTGTGATATCTATGTTTCTAATATTGTAATGTTGCATGCCAATTCTTCTAATTGTGTTATATCTATATTTCTAATATTGTAATGTTGCATGATGTGTCTCCTAGCGATCTGATATCTATGTTTCTAATAATGTAATGTTGTATGCTGTTTCTTCTAGTGATGAGATATCTATGTTTCTAATATTGTAATTTTGTATGCTGTTTCTTCTAGTGATGAGATATCTATGTTTCTACTGCTATGATGTTGCATGCTGTTTCTTCTTGTGATGAGATATTTGTGTTTTTAATGATTTAATGTTTCAGGCTGTTTCTTCTAAAGGTGTAGCAGTATTTGCGATGTTTCTAATGTTGAGTTTCTAATTGTGTAATGTTAAATGCTGTTTTTTTCTAGTTGCGCAGTATATGATGATTTTAATGTTGTAATGGTTCATGCTGTTTTATTCTAGAAGTAGGGTATTCAGTGGGTCTTTCAATTCTAGGAAAAACATATATTTTTTTTCTGAAGCCCTCCCAGTTGTCAATAATTCCTGGTGCATTCAGCAGTTAATGGCATTAATTTATGATTGATGAGTGATTATGATGAATCTATTCATGTTCTCCATATAATTCAGTATTATCTGATCTGTCTTAACAATTTTTAGATATTCTCCAAATATTTACTTGCATTTCTGAAGAATCTACACTATTTCTTTAACCTCTGTGTCTATCTACTATATTCTCTTGATATTGTTGTTGACACATAAGGCATTCACAAATAAGTTATCTCTCGCAAGATATCTGTTTTGCTGCCAGTCTGGTCTGTGGTATACATGATGGTTTACACCCTTTAATTTCCTGTTTTTATTCATGGTATCCAGGTTTTCTTAGGTCATGCATATTTTTTTCCCACCTTAATCCTTGTATATTTATTCCAAATAGACTGTCAAAGCTCATTCTCCAAATATTTCCTTGTATTTCTAAAGTATCTACACTATATCTTTAACCTTTGTATCTATCTACTATATTCTTTTGATATTATTGTTGACACATAAGGCATTATTCACATGCAAGTTATCTCTCGCAAAATGTCTTCTTTGCTGCCAGTCTGGTATGTGGTTTTACAGCCCTTCATTTTCACGTTTCTATTCAGGTTTTCTAAGGTCATCCACATCTTTTCCCACCTTAATCCCTGTATGCTTGTTCCAAATGAACTGTCAAAGCTCATTCACCCCAAACTCAGCCTTATCCTCACAGGTGCATCTTGTAATTTTTTTTTAAGTGATTTTCTTCTCTTCGTCACATCTTTCTTCTCTTGTGCTTGGGCTGTCAGTGACTGCCTCAATCCATGTTTTTCTAAATATCCCTCTGCCTCTTAGTGTTTTAAATTCCATTTTGTATGCTCTCATTGCCGGCATAGTTGGATTCATTCTCACCAGGTGGCCAAACCATTTCGGTGAACTTATTTAATTTAATTATGTTTTTCCAACATCCCAGACAGTGGCATGGAGGAATATCATCGGTGGAATTGATCCCGATCACTAAAGAACGATAAAGCAGTCTTTCAAGCTGGAGTGGAGAAGGCAGAATGGAGATTACAGACCAGAGAGGGACAACATAAATAAACTCAACAGGAAAGAACAAACATCTGTTTTTAGACATTCCACAGGACACTGTGGTCTTTGAGCTCACATGCACATGATAGGTATAAAATAATCTGCTGCCTGTGATTGTGGAGCAGAAAGACAGACCCCTGAGCACATACTGCAGTACTGCCCTAACTTCTCCCAGCAAAGACTGTGGATCTGGCCCAAGGGAGCTACATTGCAAGAGAAGCTATGGGGGACCAGTGGCGACCTTAAACGCACAATCCTATTTGTGACTCAATGTTTAGCATTAGATTGTCAAATGCAGAAGAAGAAGAAATAAAGAACGAGATCTTTGGAGAAGCCTGAATGCCTATGCCAGATGGCAAGGCACTTAATGATGATAATTATTCCAACTATTCTTCTAATTTCTTTATTTGTCACATGAACTTTTCTGGTTTTGTTCGCAGTCTCTCTCAAACATCTTATTTCACAGGTGTCCAGTGGCATTTATTAATGAGGTACCATCATCATCAAAAACCACTTCTGCCGTTAAGTGACGCGGGGAGGAATAATTTGCGATCCAGTGCACGTTGGCTGCCACTGGCTATTGTCATGCCGTGAAGGCGTAGAGTGTCTTTAATGTTGTCGATCCATGTTTTCCGCGGCCGTCCTCTTGCTCTTGCAGCTGATCTTCTGAGATGTAGTGCTTGATGAGGTATATATGGTATAAAAGTATGTTTACATAACATTTTATAAACAATATCTCATATGAAACTGTAAATGCTGCTGTGGTATATAATACAATAGAAATCAAGAAACTTAACAACAAAATTACAACACATTTATGAATACAACTTTGAAAACATACATTCTGTAGAAAAATATTTCTGATCCTTATAAGAATCAAGAGCTTTTACTGCAAAAGAAATATTTTGAAATGTCGCCTGTCTACATATGCACTTCATTGCTTACTCTTGTCAAACAGTAACATTCTTACATTTGTATTATAATTAGAAACATAAAAATAACACTTAAAAACTTCATATTTAAAAAAAAATTTAAAATGTAAAAAATAGACCACAATACTTTAATTAAATACTATGGTCAAACTTCGAGAAAATTAATTTGATTGTTGTCGAATTACTACATTGTATTTATACAGGAAATATACTGTTCTATCTTTTTAACTAGGATCTAAAGTATCTATTTTTGTTCTGTCTGGTCAAGCCTGTGATTCATTAAAACTCTGCAGTATGCATTCTTTAACACAGAACTCATCATTCTATGACACAACAAAGCTTAGTAAAACAAATGATTTAACTTTGCTGCCCTGAGACAGTACTTTTTCCAGCATTTACTCATATTTTGATGACATGACTTCTTTTCGTAGTGGCCACTATGCCTACAAAACAGCTTTGATACTAGTATGTATGTATGTATGTCAGTTGTACCCCACCAGTACATCACACACAAGTGATAATCACTCGGTGACACAAAGTGCCACCATGCGGAAGAGGATCACCCATTCAGAGTCCCAGAAACCCCTTTCAGCCGTTAGGCCATATCTATGGACTAGGCAGGCCATATCTCTGGCTTAGCCATATTTGAGGCCCAGCTATATTCACGGCTCCCAGCAAAAGCCAGGGTGGGGCTTCAAAATAAAAAAAAATTGGACCCCACGGGGTGATGACTTCAATATGATACTTGCTGTACAGTGTGTAGGCAAGGTGGGATTGATTATACTTACTTTGAAAAAAAATCTGAGATTTTGGGGTAAAAAAATTTCTTTACTTTTGTATGACATCATCACTATGTCATAATAATGACACTATTCTCAACATGGCTGGGTCACTTCAAATTCTGTTGTTGTTTTTTTTAATGTCAGGGAAGGAAATCAGCTATTTCTTTGCTAATTATGTACGTGTTTAGTGAATTACTTTTCTTTATGTAATTTTTTTTTAAAACCATTTCCGTTACAAAGACATTAAAAATATAAAAATCAACTTTTTCTTAGTGTCTTAATGGTGGCAATGTCATAGTGGCTAATATGCTTGCCTTTCTGCCCCTAACTTTTTACAAAAACTGCCAAGACCCATTTAATATAGCTCTGTTTAACACATCATTCCAAGATTTCTACAACAGCTCTGTAGAACACATCATTCTGGGAATTAACCTAGCTCTGTAGAAGATAGTCTAAGATGTAACCTAGCTCTGTAGAACACATCATTCTAAGATTTAAATAAGCTTTGTAGAAAACATTATCCTAAAATTTAAACAGCTCTGTAGAACATAGTCTAAGATGTAACCGAGCTCTGTAAAATATAGTCTAAGATGTAACCTAGCTCTGTAGAACATAGTCTAAGATGTAACATAGCTCTTTAGAACACATCATTCTAAGATTTAAATAAGCTTTGTGGAGAACATTATCCTCAGATTTAAACAGCTCTGTAGAACATATTAAAAGATTTCACACAGCAATGTAGAACACATCACTCTACGATTTAACACTGAACACATCATTCCTAAACTTAACATAGCTATGTAGGACATATCCCTCTACGGTTCAAATGTACTGTAGAACACATAACTCCATGGTTTTACATTTAACATATTCTTCGATGATTTGTCTATTTGTAAAGCCTTATAAAACACCACTACTGCAAAGGATTATGTTATCAGAACTGCAAACTTTAACAAATTGATGAAATCATCTGACAAATTTCACACAAGAATGACTAAAACTACAAAAGTGATGAAGCAGTGAAAATATACAAGACCAAAAATATCAAGAAGAGGCACCTGTCAATTACTCTGCCTAGCTCCTCCCAGTCCTGATTGATATTGCGATAGGAGATATCAGCTGCCAATTTTCCAGCGATGAATTTGATGTACCTGACAATTTGGACCAGGTTTTTGTCAGAGTGCGCTTCATCAGAATTCTGCAAAAGTTGATCACTCATCCTCACTTCTATTTCTTGAAGGCTAAGGTCTGAGGCATCTGGTGTGTGAAGCTCTGAGGCATAGAGGTTTCTCACTGGTTCGTAATTCCCAATACACAAAAGACATCGCAGGCTATGTCTGCCTAAGAAAATCTAAAAAAAGCAAGATAAAGACTGTATAAAACTGATTAAAAAACAGATACATTTTCTTCTACTTTGCGTTCACTGGCTGTAAACTCTGATGGAAAACTCTGTCTACCTCTGGACTTCAGTCTTGTTCCATAACCTGAGTGTTGCGTGCACATCTGCATATCTGATAAAAAGTTCCCTGCCTCTCAGGCAGATGCACTCCTACTTCGAATAAAGCCGCCAAATAGCCGCCAACTCTTATGACATGCTTGTTGGGTAGGTAGTGGGTTTATTCTTGTTTTTCTCACAATGGGGCTCCAGAACCCACACTGTGATGATATATTTTAAAATTGTGTTTAACTCTTTCAGTCCCAAACAACTGTTTCTTCAACTCCTTATATCTTGAGGTCTTCAGCTTAAAGGCAATAAATACTTAGGTCTGAAGGAGTTTAACAGAGACAATATGGAAAAGACGTGGTTAAACTAAAAACTCATATATAAAGGGTAAAATAATGACTGACTCAATTCTAGATTACAACAAATGACAGACTTAGAAGATGTAAATTTAAACATTATTTAAACGAAAATGGAGGTGGATTGGACACGACCTCAGAATGAAGTAAGAGAGACGGCCAAGACAAGCAATGTGATGGACACCAGAAGGACAGCGAGAAAGCAACAGGCCCAGAGGCACTTGGAGGCGAACCTTTGAGGCTTAACTCAAGGTTACGCGAAGGACAAAACTGGAGATAAAGAGGATGGCTAAGGATCGAATTAACTGGCGACAGTTTGCCTCTGCCTTATGTGCCTCTGGGCGCGATGAGGATTGGCTGATTGATTGATAATGAGACTGTGACTGCAGATAGCAAGAATGTTGTATATCTCTGAAAACACCAAGAAATATATGGTTAATTTTTCGGGACTGAAAGAGTTACATTGAGAAAAGAAGACTTCGTTGCACCATGTTTGATCCCATTTGGCAGGCTTTCCAATTCTGTGATCCATGGAACAAATTTAAAGGGGTCTGCGATATCATTTACATACACCCCAAAAACGCCTCAACTTCATATTACAATCCTGTTTGTGATTCTAATATTTTAAAATGGAAACAGCACTGGTGTAGCAGCTAGATGCTCGCCTGTGGATCTGACAGTGGTGGGTTCAAATCCACATGGCGTCAGGTTTGCTTCATACATGACCTTGGCTCCCAAGTCAACCCAACCTTTAATAGGTACCAGGTAAAGTCCTGGAAAGTAAAGGCAGCCGATGTCATGTTGACCACATCAACCATCAATCTATAAAAATATGAGTCTAGAGTCATTTGCTCGATGAGCTACTGGCTCTAATTTTTAAAAATATCTCTGTGGCAAAAAGGGTGCTAAAATGTAACATAGAACCTGATCTGCTGTATGGCAGCGAATCTTTAGAATGTCAGTGAACAAATTAAGAAGAATTTGGAAGCAACAGAGATGTGGTTTCTCAGACGAATGTTACAAATACAGTAGACGGCTAGAGTAACAAACAACGATTGCCTGAAAGAAGCTTATTAAAGTATATCTCTATATACGACAATAAGAAAGAGACAAATACTGTTCTTTTGCCACATAATGAGAAGAGAGACATTACCAAGAGATGATGCTGGATGGGCTGAAACAATGGCATTGAGGGATATCATCAAGAGAGCTGTTCCAGGCAACCAGGGATTGTTATTCATGGAGCGCATACCCCAGTTGTCAGGGCACATGATGATGATGATCTCTATGGCAAAGTGGTCAAGTCATTTGCCTCGCACTCCAAAGGTCATGCGTTCGTTCACCGGCTGCGGCCTTCAGTTTGTTCCCAAAGGGAGTTTGTGCTCTGCACAGCATTCTCCTTGCCTCTCAGGCAGATGTACTCCAACTTAAAATGATGCCCCCAATTAGTCAACTCCTATGACATGCTTGCTATGGAGGCAATGGCTAAATTCCTTTTTACCCCCCCCCCCCTCCCACCCCATCTTCTGGTACTGAAAGAGTTAGAAGTATCCTAGGCATAAAATATACAAAGCAAAAGAACTAACAAAGAATCTAAAGTCATTGATACTTACTGCATGGACCCAGGCTGGCAATGGCTTTCTCCTAGCTCCTCTGATGCTCAAATTTGACACAATCACTGAGGCAAAAATACTTCCACAGGTAAGAACCATTGTACCCAGGTAGAAAGAGCCTGTATGTTTTAACATATAACTTCATGAAAACATACTGCAAGTACTAACAAAGAACTTAAAGCAAGTATTACCATATAAATAACATGAGAATCAACATTGAAAAGACAGAAGTAATGTCAATAGGAAGAAAGAAGCAGTATTTAAACATAGCATTAGAACACATATTTATTACACAGGCATCCGAATTTAAATATCTTGGAACAACATTCACTGAAGATGGTAAATTAGACGAAGAAATTGACATTTGGTGCAGTAAAGCTAGCCAAGTATTGGGACAGCTAGCACCCCATTACAGCATAATGCAATCCCAATCAGCACAAAGAAACATCTCATACAAAGCTGTAGCACAATTCTCTTCTTTGTGGCGTATGTTGATGTCACACCCAGGTTCGTCTTTAGGTTTTGCTACAGGAGGAGTCGATTGGAAGATTATAGACGAGGAGAAAGATGGTCGTGTCGATAGTGGTGATGATGATGATGATGTCTTGCTTGCTGCATGCTTCTCACGTGGCTCTAATGCTTCTATAATAAGGTGTATGGAAACAACTGTTCTTGTCTATACTGTCTTTATTGTGATACTTCAGCAATGACACAAACAATATCAATAATATTCTAAAAGGCGCTGGTTACGTACTGTTGAGGTCGCGTTGTGTTCACACTCTTGAGGTCACATTGTGTTCTTTATCTCTAATTACTTTGTTAACTGATTCTAGTGTCTCTAACTGCCACCTGGCTTCTAGTGTTGTTTGGCACTAACGTCTTGAGCATTGACTCTAACACCTCTATAGTGTTCCTAATATGTCTCTATTCTCCATGGATTCATGTATCTTGGGTGTCGTCTCTGTAGTTCGATGTCTCGTTTCATGCCTGCTCTCCAGTGACTGTCTTCGAGGTTCCATATGAGCGGCTGCTTTCCTTCCAGTGTTGAGCTGGCATCGAGGATCATTGAGACTAGTCGCTCGTCCTCCGAGTCTCAACGACTGAAGGCTTCTAGTGTTGGGCTAACATCTCTACCACTGAAGGCTGTCTTGAGAGTCCATGTGACTGGTCTCTCCACTCTTGAGTCTTGTGGACTGAAGAATTGCCCTGGGGTGCTTTGTTACTCGTTATTTATACTTGGATGCTGGAATGCTAGGTATTTGTTTTCTTCGGCTTCTATAATATTCTAGTACATCTCCATTTGTTTACTAGGTACGTTTTCACATGGGATTTTCTAAAAATATCTAAAGTGCATCGGAGTTCATCATTCTATTCTACGCAGATATAGTATTTAAACTGACAATTGAGGTCATAGAAGTTTCTAAAAAAACAAATAGAATTGCGTTTGCTTTGATAGGGCACGTCAACAAGGTATTCACTAGTAAGACAAGGTTGGGTCACATGATGAAACAAACGCATTTCAAAACTTCTAGAAAGAAGGTCAAGGCCAGACAACATCAGTTTGATGACAACAGCTAGTTTTGGCGGGTAAAGAAGATTCTAGAAAAGGGAATGTCAAGGCTGCCAAAACTTGTTGATTTTCTTCTAATTAAATACTATGCAAATACTATTCCCTAACGAACAAGCTATGATCTTAGCTCTGTTACAAAGCATACTAATTCCCACCCTATGCTACCAGTGCCAGACGTGGTCATTCACAACAAAACATAAAAGAAAATTAGTAACCGTGGAAATGAAGAGTATGATAAAGGCAGTAGGAGTGATAAAATAAGGAATGAGGTCATACAGGATAAAGTCGACACAGAACTAATTCTAAATTACACAGAAAACAGCAAATCAAATGGTTTGCCCACTTGGAGAGAATGCCTTCTGATGCTATACCATTAAAGGCATATACAAAAAGAGGAGAGGAAGTAAAGCAAGAGGTAGACCAAGAACATATGGAAGGATACAGAGAAACTCTACAGTACCACGATGTGTCTTTGGTCAAAGCAGCCAGAAAAGCATGAAGCAGGACCTTATATCTCCGTCGACACCCGAAGCAGTAAAAGATGACGTAAAGAAAAAGATTAACATATGACTAAGAACACTACACACTTACACACAAAGGAAAATCTGGCAAAAGATTAACTCACAAATTTTAGGCATGGATCCATGATTAAATGGAATGGCAAACTGGAGTATAGTCATCAACAATAGAAGGCACATCAGTAGTAGAAGTCCTGCAGAAATTAATGCAAGAACAAATGACTTATACAGGAATTGCAAATACAATTCACCCATTTTGTAAATCAAATTCACCCTTCTAAAGATCAAATTCACTCTTTTGCAGACCAAATTCACCCTTTTGTAGACCAAATTCACCCTTTTGCAGACCAAATTCACCCTTCTGCAGACAAAATTCACCCTTTCACAGCTACAAAAATAGTTTCTTGATCTATCATGTTAGTTAGTCAACAGATAATTCTCATTGCACATTGAACCATTCAGTCCATAAGTGCTTAGATCCCCTCCTCAGTAAATCCTGCAGCATGTAGGGGCTGATGACACATGTAATTATGATCTATCATAATTTTTTTTTTAAATATATAAAATTAAAGTTATTGTTGAAATCGAACATTCCTATCCAACATTAGTATCTTTTCCTATTCTCTTGATTTTGTAGAATTTGTTCCGTTTTCTCCCAAAGCTATAAACATGTGATTATATCATATTTTTTAATTCCCTATTCAGGATCCTCACCGGTGTTATAGAGCTTGTGCACTGAGCTGAGCTTCTTCTGACTCAAGACTTGAGTTAGAAGAAGAACGGAGCACTTATGGGTTACTACCCGTATGCCATGATGTTGATCCGTTGCTCAAACCTCATTTAATTCCCTATATTCTTTCTGCACAGGCACCAGTTAATGAATTTTAATTAAAATCTTTTATTCAAACACATCTAAACACTGAATTTTCCCATCATAAACTCATCAAATAACACTGCTGGGAGATACTTATCCCAATGCTCTGGAAAAGCAGATGTTACTTTTTTGATAACATTCCTTCGGTCTCCCATTAAAGTTTTCTACATAGCCATTTGCTTGCAGATTACATTTAGTTGAAAAGACTTGTGCAATCAAATTAAGGATGTCTTCTTCTTCTTCACATTCACCAGCTGTACACTCTGGCGGAAAGTTCTGGTTGCTCGTCCACTACTGAGCTGCAGTCCTGCTCCAGAGCCTGAGTGTTGCGTGTGCATCAGTTTTACAGATCTCATTCTCTTGAATACAGACTGTTGGTTCCTTGCCTCTCCGGCAGATGCACTCCGACTTCAAAGAAGCTCCCCAATTAGTCGACTCTTACGACATGCTTTTGGGGAGGCAGTGGGTCTATTCTTGTTTTCCCCACAATGGGACCCCAGAACCCACACCGGGGATTATGGATGTGAGAGTTGGAAAGCAACAGTAGCTCTTGATAAAAAAATTAGACAATTTTGAGAACAGATGTATTAGAAGAATACTGAATCTGCACTGGACAGATTTCTGATTCAATACGTCAAGAGACCACGCAAGAAAATATATCAAATTTGGAAAGAAAGCGCTGCTGGAATTACATTGGCCATGCACTCAGAATGGATAAAACAAGACTCCCCCATCAAACCCTTATATGGACACCGGAAGCGAACAGAAAACAGGGAAGACCAAGACAGACTGAGTAGAACAATCTTCAGAGAATGCTTAACTATGGGCCTAATGAATATCCAAGGCCTGAATCAGGTGGCAACGAACTGCTAGACATGGAGAGTTATGACCTCTGCCCAATACGCTGCCTTAGGCTCAAAAGGAAAGACTAACTAACTAACTAAACTCACCAAAGATTGTTTTATCCTGGCTACGTGCTGGTACCAAATAGATAACCGGCACCAGAAATCCCAGCAGTGCTGCAGGCATAACCGTCAGGTGATGATAAAATTGGGGCTTTCGGCGCAGTTTCACTGACACAGTGATGAGGGTAAATGGTTGCTTGCAGCATTCATATTTCTTCAGTGTCAGTTTGGCCGAGGCTTTGTTGTCCACAAGATCCCACTGCGGATGCTCATGTACTGGATAGGACATGTCTTCTTCATTGAGGACTATGTCCATCTCAGACTTGTTAGATATGAACTGGTAGACATTACAAGGGGGAATTAGTATACATTTAGAACATATGTACGTAATAAGTATATGATATCTTCTTCTTCTTTGTTCACCAGCTGTTAGCTCTGGCAGAATGTCCTGGTTGTTCGTACATTTGGACCTTGGCCTGGAGCTAGGGCCTGAGTTTCACGTGTACATCTGTTTTACTGGCTTATTTGTGTGCAGTTGGTTGTACCTTGCCGCTCTGGCTGATGCACACCGACTTCAAAAGAAGTCTCCAGTTTAGTCGATTCCTATGACATTCTTCTTGGGGAGGCTGTGGGTCTTTTCTTGTTTTTCCCACAATGAGGCCCAGAACCCATATGGGGAGTATATGATATAAAAACTGATGAACATATTCCTGTGTGGACTCGGTGGCACCATTTACGGGAGAAAATAATAAACCCACTATAACCTTAACATGCATGTCACAAAAACGACTAATTATGGGTTTGCATAAATCAGATGTGTTGGGCCAAAAGGCTAAGATATCAGTCTTTCATTTAACCTCAACATAATGTCTGACACACAAAAAGACTGTATGCAGTTCAGCTAAAAACATGATGAACCATGTCCAACTCAGATTTGTTAGATGTGACATGGTAGAGAAGAAAAAAGTGTATATTTCAGTTATATTTTCTTCAGTTCGTCCGAGTGACATAACTGCATTGTGCTTGATTACAGCACAGCTGCAATATTTGTGCTTTTCAGTTAACATATCCATCTTCAACTTTGCCAGGTTCATAATAAAGTACAGAGTGTAAGGTTTACTGCACATATATACTACTCTCTTTTTCTGTTTGTGTGTGCCCTTTGGAAACAAGCAACGGAATCAGTAGAGAAACAAGATTAATATGGCCTGGAGAGAATGCGGCACCTGGATGTAACCAGAGGGTCCGGCCGGCTCACTACACTCAGAGGAAAGGCAAGACAGACTCAACTCTGTGTGTGTGCACACGAGTGTGATATTTACAATTTATAAATATCAGTATATAAATAGTGATATAAATAAAGATTACAAGAAGGCAAACATTCACAGAGTAATGCTGCTAAGCTGATATCAAAAGGAAATAATTATCAAATGCCTCTCCACAACCTGCGATCTCCAGCAGCATATATTAGTTTGTGTGTGCTGTCAGCCTTCCATGACATGACAAAAAGGCTGTTAAGAATCTTTTTATGCCTTCTTCCTCCATTTTTATGCCCATAAATATTCCAGTCATCACAAAATGTTCCAGTTTCTTTCTTTCTTCTTACATGGTGCCCACAAAATGATAATTGTCTCCTTATATTTGTGATAAGTTGTCATCCAAGTTTTCGCCTCTTTCAAAATATATGTATTATTCATTTTGGCTGACCAAGAAATTCTAAGTCTTATGTAAAACCACAACTCTAAAATAATTACAAAACACAACCAGGTATTTTAGCAAAGAAAATGCATTTATAAATGAAACCTACAGACAAACACACTAAAGCTAAAAAAAAAAAAAAAAAAAAATTTTAAAGTCCAAAAACACATACCGTGACATTAATTTCCCAACTGCTGTGCATCCAAGATCCGAATACTAAACTGCAGGTCTGTATGTCATTTGGGAAATCTGTTAGGTCCATCGGGCAGGTGCTGAACAAAGTCAGCATGGGTACCCAGACAACATTTCCATCAGACGTCACTGTCACAGTCTCCTCATACAAGGACTGTGGGGGCATCTGGTAGGCTCTGATGAATATGTTGAAACTGTTACGACTGAGGAACAGACAAACTGGCAGGCAGGGGGAGCGACAGAAAAAAAAAAAAAGGAGGGAGTGCAAGCAGAGCCACAAGGAAATTTTTCATTTTCTTCACCTGCATTCTGAGCTCTATAGGTTGATTGCTGCAGATATCACCCACTGCCATTCATCCCCAGGATTGACCAGTTAGTGACTGATGGGGGTCTCCATGGTGAAGTGATCAAGCCGTTTGCCTCACGCTCTGAAGGTTGTGGGTTCATTCCACGGCTGCGCTCTTCAGTTCATGAGTGCAATTTTTATGGAGATCCCGGGGGATTTTCACAGGAGCTACGGAGTTCATGCTATGCACAGCACTTTCGGAAGGCAGCTAGCCGTTCTGCAGAGAGAGACCAAGCCATGTGGAATAAAACCCGGTGCAATGAAGTCGATCCTCTTGACTTCTCACTTTCCAGTTAGTGACTGGGGGGATTTAACTGTTCAATTGCAAATGCACAAAAAAAAAAATTAGCAGAGAATGGTTTGGTCATCAGGTCAGAATTGAAAAAATATCAGCCAGCAGCTAGAATGTATTACTTTAGAACAGCAGGCTGCAAGATTTAAATGTGGATTAGTAAAAAAAAAAAAAAAAATGCATTAATCCTAAACACTTTTATAACTGAATGCTTCCCGTGTGAGTTCCGGGGCCTCATTGTGGGGAAAACAAGAGCAGACCCACTGCCTCCCCAACAAGCATGTAGTAAGGGTCAACTAATTAGGGGCTTCCTTAAAAGTTGGAGTGCATCTGCCTGAAAGGCAGGGAAGCAACAATCTGCACACAATCAAGTCAGATCTGTTAAATGGATGTGCAGGCAACACTCAGGTAGAGAACAAGACTAAAGTCCAGAGGTGGACAAACAAACAGAACTTCCTGCTGGAGTTTACAGCCAGCAAATGCTAAGAAGAAGATGATTAAATGACAAATGAGTAACAACTTACACATTGAAGAGAACCAAGTCAGGAATCCAGAGCCTGCTTGCTGGAAGACGAACAGTTTGGAGCCCATCATAATCTGATACATTCCATTTCAAGCGTGGATCGTTCCACATCTGTCAAAAATCACAAATTTTAACACAATTATGGCTGTCACACTTAGTAAAATGATAACATGCATTTGTTAACACAGAATGAATATGTAAAGAATCAATGTTGCTGCACTCTCATCATCATCATGTGCCCTGCCAACTGGCGTAGGCGCTCATGTGTCTCCACAGATCACGATCCCTGGTTGCCTGGAACAGCTCTCTTGATGATATCCCTCCATGCCACTCTGGACATTAAAAAATGTGAATCTTCTCCTGCTTGAGTAGCCAAAAAAGGTTTTATACTGTTGGTACAGAGTAGCTTGGATCACTTGATAAGACTGGGGAGTCAATAAAAAACTAGCTTTCAATCCCATCTGCGACTCGCTGCAGCCCTCGGCCGGTTCCCGGGGTTCACCCAACCTCTAGGTAATGGGTACCAGAGTTAACACACTGGAGTAAATGGAGGAGCATAACTTTATGCTACGGATTTGCATGCAGACGGCAACACATGCGGACAGTTTCTTATCAGCTGCCTGTAGTGGTGACAGAGCACTTATGGTTTCTAACCGTGTGCAATGACACTGGTTCACATCTCTCGACTTTACCTTTTACTTGATAAGACTCACATCAGGAGCATAACATGGATTCTTTGGCCAGGAGATTCAGGTGTGCAAGGTAAAGAGCAGGCTGATAGATTACCTACTGGCACTCCTCTGGGCTACTTTATGTTAAAGTGGAAATGGTGAAAGCTCTCTGGGATCTAGAACAGACAGAATTTATAAACTGAAAGACTAATTCAATGCGAGGTGAGTAGAGGTTCTGGAAAATATTCAACACTGAGGGGGGGAAACAGGCAGACCTTTAGTCAGGTAGCAAGTGGTACCATTAACACCTTAAATCTTCATTGGCTACTAAAGAAAGGGATGGAGCATGTGAGGAAATGTCCTGAGTACTGTTGATTCATCTGTTTATTCACCGGTGCCAGTAGCAAGCTGACTGAAAGTGAGCCCAGGTTAGTTTGTCAGTTGGGATATGATCATTGCACTTCAGACCTGTCCCAAAGTGCTCAGATCCTTCCCCCAATAAGAACCCCAGAGTCCTGAGACTAACTGTGCCAGTTCTTGGTTGATTGATAGGTATTTTTTTTTCGCCCGGTGTGTCTCTCGCTTTTGGCTAGGCTGATCTCAACTCCCAAGTCTTTCATTATGATGAGCGATGTGGAATCGCTGTCTCGAAAGTCCTCCACCCTTTCATTTCCATCGATGCCTGTGTGCCCCGAAACAAAGCTAAAGACAAAGGCTACACACGGTGGACTTCTGAAATGGCTCAATCACTTCCTTCGCACAAAACCTGCTTGAATCTTTCCGATCATGCTCATATAATCGCTAAATACACATGCAAGGGTATAGTCTTGTGTTTTAAGTCATACAAATGCTTGCGTTTCCGCCATCACCTCCATCATCATGCTGCTTGTTGTCATGGAGAAGGCACCGCTGGAATCTTCAGCCCAGGTATTCCCTTCGATGTTGAATATCATCCAAAGCCTATGCCCCCCTCCTCACTGAATTGTCTCAATCAGGTAAAATCAGGCTAACAGACCAATGACTTTAACCATATATGTAGGCCAAAGTCACGTTTGTGCAGTTTTAGCTGTTTGTATCCAAGTTTATTTTCAGGACTGTTATTTGTCACTTTACAATATGCCAAAGATACACATGTGAAATCCTACCCTAAATATGTCAGAATGAAGTATTACTTTTCATAAAACTAACTGCACAATATCTAGTGAGATCTGAATGTTCAAATCTAATTTTGTTGTATTTTTTTAAATTTGGATTGAGCACAACTATTCTTAACCCCGTCACTTCGAAAAGCCCCCGACAAGGCATTTCCATCAGTAAATGCTGCTCACTCAGCTGTTTTCCACTAACTTGTCATTGACTGTTTTTTTTTTTTGGGGCACCTGCCCCGCGATTTAGGAGGTTCAAATATAAATATACTCACAAACAAAAACTGGGAGGGGGGGGTCCCGTGAACAAAATGGCTTTTATAAATCCATATGAACATCAAAACTGTCCCCATATCCTCAGTGTTGGAGGTCATGGAGGCACAAAAGGAGTCACCCACTAAATACACTTTCCAATTTTTTTTTTTTTGGGTCGTGGGGAATGTGTTTCACTTGATGCTTCACTCCCTCTGTGTTTACTGATTACTCTCTCAAACTCTTTCACTCCCAAGCAGTTACTTCTTCAACCCTTTCTATCCCAAGTAGTTGAGCCTGAAAGTGATAAAAAAACTTCTGAAAGAGTTCAACAGAGACTTTATAGGACACAAGTAGTAAAACTAATAATAATTCAGATACAAGGGGTTAAATATAATGGCTACAACAGAAGACAGCAAAGACATTTTGCTATCTGTAAAATAACCAAGAAACATATGGTGAGTTGACTGGTACACTAAAAGAGTTAAATATTCTGAAGAAAAAATTATAGTGTAAATGTATTTCTTTTATGTATGATTGATCTGTGTCAAAATGGTGGGGGTTTTTTGGAGAAAAAAAGTAATAGAGGGGATTGCTATGGGATCATGACTTTAAAAAAAAAAAATAGTTTTTGGGGTGACAAGGTTAATAATATTGCTGCTTGTAAACTCATCTGATAGTTTCCTGGTTATGGCTTTTAATGGCTAGATTATTTTAATAGCCTCATGGCATCATGCAAATGTTCACTTGGGATCTTCAAATTGTTGCCAGAACCTTTTCTGGAAGGTAACTCTGCAGGCATAATACTGAACGTGACACAAGGTGTATGTAGTCAAGAAACCAACGACATCACTTATTGACAAGGAGCATGGAAACATGATCTTCAAGCTTTGACCTATAATCATTGATGTGCAACACAACCCTCCAGTAGTAAATAATTTTTAAACAAATCAGCTGAAATGTTAATATATTCCTATATTTTTCCTATTTCTTAAAAAATAAACCCAAACCTCCAGTGATACATAACTATTCTGAAGCAAACAAGTTCAACTGTACAATAACAGACAGCAATGCTTAAACAAAAAAAAATTTGAAATCTTCAGTAACATATCATCATCATCCATTCTCTTCATGCCTAGTGGCACATGAGGCTTCAGAGAGGATTTTCCATGCTTTCTTGTCCTGTGCAATCTTCAGTGCAGTTTTCCATGTCAGAGATGCTGCACTTAGGTCACTTTCCATTGTTCGTTCTCGTGTTGTTTTTTGGGGACCCCTTTTTTCTCTTTCCCTCTGGTGTCCATGTGAGAGCTGTTTTGGCAGGTATATCAGGATTCATTCTCGTAACATGGCTAAGCCATTTCCATGTTGGTTATTATACTGTCTAGACTTTCTTGGTTTCTTGGTTTGTGAAATAGTTTTCAGTAATATATTACCAACCCTAAACTACACAGTAAATACATACTCCTATACATAAACAATATATATAGTAACATAACTATACCTGCACAATAAACAATGTGGATGTGAATGTATCAGTGGCCTCATTCTGAAGGAGAAAAAAAACATGTTTCACTATTATGAAATGCCCAGAAGCAAAGCAAGTTTCTCTAATTTCATGAACAAGGCTACTGCTAACCACAGACCCGTTGTAACAGACATAATATTCCTGACTTTCAGCAATTAATTCTGTCCATCTCATTTTAATCTATAATTTGCTCTTCCGGTTCAATCTAAACTATTGTTTGGTTTAGGGCTAAGAATGAATCCGTACCGAAGCCATTGTTATAATACTTATAAGGCTTAGAAATGTATATTAACCACTGCTTTAATGTCGATTCTGTAAACTAATACAAGTTTAAAAATTATGTTGAAAGATGGAAAGATCAAGTTCCTTGCACCTGGTTTTATCCGATAAGGCTCAGTCTTCCCACAGAGGTGTTTGTCCTCAGTAAGAGTATTGCATAAAGCATGAACAGCTCCAGAAATGATCCTCAAGGTTCTCTGAAATCTTACTTATAACTTTCAGACGAATGGCTGGACCACTTCCTTAAAACTATTAAACCAAAAATTAAATAATTATTCTAAATAGGTCAGTTTTAATCTGAGCAATTTCGCTTTTGCCGACCTGAAAATTTTGTTTTCTTTATCAGTGTAAACTGATATCCACATACCTTCTCAATTAAGATTCTCCTTATAAATGCGTACTATTTGTCTGTCTCTCTTACTGTCAATATTTCACCCCTTTTTAACTCAAAACAGTACTGTTATATTATTACACTATTACATAGGTCTTTTCTTTTTCCAACAGTCTGTGACACTAGGCAATAACATAACTTGTTGGCGCATTGGCACCTTTTTTTTTTTTTTTTTTACATTTGTGGTGAGTACCAGCGCCTTGTTTCTAGAAGAAAAAGTCCTGCATTAACACAAAATAAAGTTTCCTATGATATTCAATCCAGCTGTATTATATACAGCAATACCAGATCTCCCGGCTTAATAAAAAATCAGTGATATCTGCTTCTTTAGATTTCCACTATGGTATTTTGAGTGCCCTGTGTGTTTGGTCTGCAACTCGTACCCTATCTCTGGAGGGGGTCTCTGTGACAAAGCTAAGCTAGCACCCACATGGCTCTTGGGGATCCAAAGCCCACCTACCACCCTCTGAGACAGACACACATTAGAGAAGTAATATAAAATCAGCATCAGACCTTCAGCCATGCCAGATGATGCAATAAGAGATCAAGATTTGATATGGCAATTCCCTGTGTGGGTTCAGGGGCCCAATTGTGGAGGAAAAGAAGAACAGACCCAATGCCTGCCCAAAAGCATGTAGTAAGAGTCGACTAATAGGGAGCTTCCTTTAAAGTTGGAGTGCATCTGCCTGAGAGGCAAGGAACCAATAGTCTGCATGCAAATGAGTTTGACCTGTAAAATGGATGTGCACGCAACACTTTATTTCTGGAACAGGACTACAATCCAAAAGTGGACGAACAACCAGACATTTCTGCTGTAGTTTACAGCTGGGAAATGTGAAGAAGAAGATATGGTAAAAGCTGCGATGTCCCAGCTAAATACGATTGGAAGCGCAAAATCAGCATCACAGTAAAGGTCAATATATATATAGATGACTGGTATTGTCTATCTTCTTAAACGGATGTGAGTTTTACTCACTGTGGAAATAGACAAGAGGAATCAGGCTTTCCAATGTAAATGCTATAGTTGAATTAGTTATTTAGAACATAAAACTAGCGAATATGTCAGGGACAAAATAAACAAATTTGCAGAACATCAGGAGCCTCTCTTGGCAGTGGTGAAACGTCGCAAGCTAGCATGGCTCGGGCATGTGGTGAGAAATGATTTAATTGTAAAGACTGTACGTCAAGGAACATTTTAAAGGTAAAGTTGGGAGATGTGAACCAGCATCAGTGCACATGGTTATAAACCATAAGTGCTCTACCACTAGTACAGACTGATAAGAAACTGTTCACTTGTGTCGCCGTCTGCACGAAACTCCGTAGCTACAGCGACGTTCATCCACTCACCCCAGAGTGTCATCTATGGTACCCATTTCCTAGAGGCTGGGTAAACCCCGGGAACTGCCCGGTTTTGAACACCGACCGTGTCTGCAGTGGGTTGCCGCTGGATTTGAAAGAGAGCCACCTATCAACTGCGCTAACGCGGCACAAGAACAGTGTGAGGTGGTCAAAGAAGAGGAGGGGCAAAGAAGAACCTGGAATGACAACATCAAGAAATGGAAGCAAACTACTTTTATCATACACTTGTTTAACAAGCAGAAGACAGAGAAAGATGGCTATCTGTGATATTATTCTTTTCGTTCCCCATGGGTCCCAGTAACACCCAAACAATGTCATGTAACACACAACCAATGTCATGTAAAACACAACCAATGTCATGTAACATACAACCAATGTCATAATACACACAACCAATGTCATGTAACACACAAACAATGTCATGTCACAATGTAAAATATATTCTTCTAAATGTTGAAACCAGCAGATTTCTCTACCTCATGCAGTAACAGATGCTACATTACCAGATCCTCCACCCGGACAAAAGAGAACTTGACGGACACTGACACAGCATCGCTGTGCTTCAGCACTGGCCTTGCCTGCCTGACATAAGTCCCCATCAGCCAATTGATTAATCTCTCCTCACTCAGCTCCGGTCTGCCTCCTGACCACGGCTGACCTACATTGTTGGACAATAAACAAGCAAGTTAGCCGGACATTTTTCTATGCTTTCAGGCATATTGAGCATATAGGGTTAGACCTACATTTTATAGACCGTCTGTACTTGGTGGGTGAGGTCTGCATCATGCAACCACCTTTACTTTCCAGGACTTTATCTAGTACCTATTTAAGGCTGGGTTCCTGTCCGGGTTCACTCCCGGGGGTAGGCAGAAAAGCAATCCCAGAAATACATAATGGAATCAAGGCCGAAGGGTTGCGATATCCATAGTACCGAGCCAAAAGGTTTTGAGGTTTCTTTAAGGCTAACAGATGCAATAAATACATTTGAGGTTTAAATAACAGATCAACATGATGGCACATGGGCAGTAACCCATAAGTGCTTCGTTCTTTTTCTAACTCAAGTCTAAGCCCAAAGAAACTCAGCACAGTGCACAGGCCCTGTAGCACCGGCGAGGATCCTGAAATACTTTTGGGTAGATTTTTAACTCCAAATTCTTGCCTAGGCAGCGCTGCCAGACTACTCTTTTCAATTTCCAAATACCAAGGGATTTTTTACATGCGCAACAATACACACGGGCGTCCGATCTCACTACCCAGAGACCAGGGAGAATTACTTAAAGTCCAAGTCCACACGAAAAAATTCCAGCCCTTACCAGGGATTGAATCCGGAATCTCTAGCACTCGAGGCGGACACCATACCTCGAGACCAAGAGTTACATTCATGTTAAATAATGAAAAATGTTTGTGAGGTTTACTGAGTTACTAAGTGTTTGTTTGAAAACAATATGGCAGCCGAGAAATATCCTACATGCATACCAGCATGATTTACGACTTCTGAAGCCTCAAATTTAAATAAAACACGTGTTTATCAGATTTATCCAATGTTAGATGGAGAAAGTTGTGAAGTAGACTCGTTTCAGTCATTGATAGAGTCAAACTTTGGCGAGGAATAGCCCAAATAGATACCTCATGCTAAGCGTGTGATAACAGTCAGCTGGTTCAAAGGGAATAAATATCACTGAAAAGGGAGAGTTTTTGTGTGTTACAGTTCTAGCGCTAGCTATAAAATACAGGCAAACTGAGTGTTATATAAATGTTTTGTGGGAAGATAGTAATTGTTTTGGAAAGTCAATTCACTTTACCAAATAATGGTGCTCTGTTATGATGCTACAAAAGTTTCTTTGGAACAAGATCTAATGCAGATTGAGTTTATATTTTACTTACACATTCCTATTTAGTTCAAGTTTTTTTGTGATTCATTTTGGATATATTTTATTGAGTTTTCCTTGAGCGCCTTTGTGGTAAGTGGAAAGATTATTATTTCCTTCAACTAATTTTTCTAAACATACCGTTTGTTTATTTACTAATATTTAACTACTAACACATTTTTGTTTTGTTTTAGCAGTGTTCAAATATTATTCCTCAACAATCCCTGGTCACTTTGATGTACAATATGTGTATGTTGCATGGCAGCTAAATCAGTATGGTCTGTTTTAATGTGTTACACTTGTGAAGTTTAAAAACTGCATTACACACCCCCCCCACCCAGGGCCTCTTATGCTAAACACCCTGGGACGCAATTGGTCTATTATTGCCCTGTAAAAATAAGTAAATAGTTGTCTGCAAATCGTGGCATCAGATGAAACAGATTGGATCAAAACAGGCCAAGAAAAGCTGAATGTTATCATAATCTTAGTTATAAACTCTTCATTTATTTATAAATAAGGCTTTTTTTTTTTAATAATCCAGAAGCCATGAGTTGTTAACCCTTAGGCTCGGTATTATGGATATCGCAACCTTTTGGCCTTGATTAGATGATAAATACCGTAAATCTGGGAAAAATGTGGCTTTTCTGCCTACCCCCGGGCGTGAACCCAGACCACAAGGAGTTCGTCACCCAGTCACCGCGCAGTCCGGTTTAGCCAACTACGCTAGTGAGCCGGGCAAATAAGGCATTAAATTGATATATCAAACATATTCTCACGCATCATAGTGATTCGTTTTAAAGTGAATGAACAAATCAGGAGCTTGTATGCTGTAGATATGTGGTTTCCAAGACAAAATGCTGCAAATACTTTGCTGTTTAGGCACCTTTCCATCTGTCCAAACGACATATTTCATACTGTACTTTAGCGACGGCAATGACAAATGTGATTAGCAACACCCTCTTGAGTTAAGAAAAGTCACCAGAAAATGTGTGTTACACCACATGTGTAGAAGTAAAGTCTCTTTACATGCCAGTGACACACCTAGTATATGAGATTAGACTCATATATTTTTTTTAAACACCAACTGACCCTCAATCGGTGTTGTTGTCAACATCACACCAATAAAGTAACAGAAAATGTATTGATTGGCACTCATTGAAAGAAACAGAAAGATAGACAACAGCATACAAATCGAAAGCTATAGTACCGTGCCGGGAATCGAACCTGTCACCTCCAGACGGCGTGTGCAGCTTGCTATGGAAACAAGTGCACTAAGAATACATGTTTATTTATGGGAATAACATCATATCAACCAACTTTACTTCCCAGCACTTTACTTGGTACCCATTTAAGGCTAGGTCAACCTGGCAGCCAAGGTCAGGCATGAAAAAATCTGGCTCCGTAAAATTTAAATTACCAGATTACTAACAAAATATTATAAACAAACATTTCAGTCAATCAATCATTCAGCCTGTCCTTAACAGTATGTTGCTCTCTTCATGGCATGCTTGAAGGTTTGAGGTTTTAAACAGCGGATAACATCAAGGCACATGGGTGTAACCCATAAGTGCTCCGTTCTTCTTCTAACTTTAGTCTGAGTCCAAAGAAACTTAGCACAGCACATAGGCTCTGTAGCACCAGGGAGGATCCTGAAATACTTTGGGTAGATTTTAACTTCAAATTTTGCCCAGGCTGCGCAGTTAGACTACTCTTTTCAATTTCCAACTACCAAGGGATTTTTTCCATGAGCAATGCACAAGGGCATGCGATCTCACTACCCAGCGACCGGGGGAATTACTAAAATCTAAGTACACGTTAAAAAATCCGAGCCCTTACTGGGGATTGAACCCGGAACCTCTAGCACTCAAGGCGGACACCATGACTTGAGACCATGCAGCCCCCTTGCCTGAAGGTTTCTCTTTCTCTGGCCAGTTCTCCAGCCCTGTGTGCTTTCATAGACAATGCATCTTCCATGTTCTGTATCCACATCCACAGTGGTCAGCCTCTGCCTCGTTTTCCAGACATTGCGCCTTCCATCACCATTCTCTTAAGACTACCATAGTGTTTGTCATGTTCAAAATACTTCAGCATTTGAGAGAGGATGCTGTTTATGAGCCATTTCTCAATATTCAGATTATGCAGGATGATGTTTTTCATCTTCTCAATCCAAGAGATTCCAAAAAGTTTCTGTAGCATTTCGGTTCAAAAGCTCCAGTTTTCTTCTTCAGTTGAGTTGGGTCAAGAACTGACGTCACAGCAGTCGGGGCATTCCCATGTGTGCTTCATCCTTATCTTCAGTAGCCAACGCAGAGTTCCAATACTGATGGTACTGGTCACAATCTGGTTATATGTCCGTATTGTCTTTCCTCTGAGTGTAGTGAGCCAACCAGACCCTGTGGTTACATCCAGGAGCCTCATTCTTTCCAGGCCAGAATAATCTTGTTTCTCTACTGATTCCATTGCTTGTTTCCAAAGGGCATTGACCACATCTGCCTTGTAATGTATCAATTTACCACTCAGTGGTGCAGATCCAGCCAATCTGTCTGCCTGTTCATTACCCAATACGACGGCATGGCCCGGAGAAAAGTATGCTCACTACTAGTGACCTTCCCAGTGAAGCTTGCCACTCTGCTCGAAGCATCCCTGTCTTCACCTTTCTCAGAATGCCTTCAGAGTCTGTTATAATAACAACATGTGTATTTGTCTTGGTCTCTAGCCACTGGAGAGTTCCAGTTACCGCCTCCACCTCCATTCTCATGATAGATGTTGTGATGTCGCATGCTAGGCTGTCTAGCACTAAATTTTTTTCATTGGCTTTCGCTACGAGCAGGTGCTATCCCATAGGTTCTTCATGTTGTTTAGCCTCTGCATTGTGAAAGCAAGTTCTTTTTTTCTTATGACTTCTGATAAAAATTTACTTGCAGGAAAATGTTTCTACATCATACATTCAGTTCTTTTCCTCACATATATGCCGGTGCTACAGAGCCTGTGCATTGTGCTGAGCTTCTTTGGACTCAGACTTGAGTTATAAGAAAGAATCTAGCACTTATGGGTTACTACCCATGTGCCATGTTGATCCGTTGTTCAAACCTCACACGTTTACACTCAAACACAAATTAATGCTATATTACCTTTACTACCCGGCAAAAAGCCAATTAGAAGCAACAATGTCAGAAGCAAAACTGCTTTTCCAAATATACTTCTGGTGGCCACAAACTGGCCAGGGAAGGGTTTCAAAGCCATCTATTTGGAGAAAAAAAAAGGACTATAGAAACAGTCTAAAATAGTGGTTAGTGCAATAACAACAGTATGTTTTAATTATAGACATGCAAACATGCAGAATGAAAATAAAATCCTGCAACTCTTTAACTGGTAAAGTCTGCAGAACCCTTGTTGTAGTTTGGCGTTTATTAACTGTACTTTAAGAAGCAGTCTTGGTTTTTTTGGTTCTCCTTTGAATAACGGTCGCTAGTTGGACTTCAACGGCCGCTTAGTCGGAGTTCACTCCCCTGGCTGCAGTGCAATTAAGGAGTGGACAAGTCACGAATCAAAAAACACAGTGAGGTCGACCTGGCTGCTAAAGCTAGACCACGCGCTGCGACTGACATTAGCGACCGCGTTCTTGCGACGCAACTCTCGCAGACCACGCGCTGCGACTCAAATTAGCGACCGCGTTCTTCCGACGCAAGACTTAGTGACCGTAGATGTGAGACCTGCGGATCTGTATGTCGTAATGAGCGATAAGCTTGCGTGGTTTCCGTAATGTGTTACCCTAACCCTATCCCAAACC